TGGAAATATTTTGCAATATATTTGAATAATATTTAGTTTTATGGGACATGAACATTTGAAATAGTAATATAGAAACTAAAATTAAAAATACATATGATTTGTTGTGTCTCTACTCTATAGTTGTAAAATATTTATTATATATAAATAGAATAAAAGAATGTAAATTATCATGCATGTTCCCATGTTGAGGTGGACCTTTTGATTTGAATGGTTGCATGTTAAGGTGGGTCATTTTCATGCATGTTGCATGCTTAGGTGTCATGCTCGTATGTTGAAACAAATATATTAGTGGGGGCTAGCTATTTAAATATTAAAGATCAGCATGATCCCTATGATTGATGTTGGTTTATTAATCAGGACCAGCTATGCATAAGTCATTTTGGGTAAGCCGATTTGCTAGGCCATGTTTTTTTTTTTAATAAATATTGGCAGAATAGTTTTGGGGTAGAAAGTTTGTATTTTGGAACTTGAGCTCGTGTACCATAACACAAAGAAAACAGATAGAGTATGCCGTAGACACAAATATTAGCCGGAAAGATGATTACGTAGTAAAGAGTACTCACAAGTAGCCGGGAATGATAATCTTCTTAACCCTGGCCAGGATGCGTGCAGTTTGCTCGGACTGCAACTGGAATATCCTGGCACCTTCAGCGTAGTTACTGCCAAATGCGGTGCGAGAAATGACATCTCCAGTGAGTCTCTGGAACTCCGGACATACATCCACCTCATATGTACCATCAGAACCAAGAGATTGCGTCCATCTGCTCACAAGTTCTTGGCAGCAAGTAGAAAACGCTGGCATCATGAGCTGCAAATTTAATACACACGATTCCATTAAATTTATAATTTCGCCAGCATTTGATTGAAGTACTACTACACATGGAACAATAAAAAATTAGGAGCAGTGCACGTACCTTAAGCTTCTCGAGATGGAATGCAGGGTTGAGGATCCTCCTGTGCTTGACCCATTGCTCGCCCTCGTACGTCGCCACGCCTCCGGCGAGCAGCCTGGACAGCGCCGGAAACTTGAGCTTCTCGAAGTGGCCGAACTTGTTGGACATCACCTCCTTGGTCTGCTCAGGGTCGCTGATCACCTTGGGGTACGGACCAAACCAACATATGCACGCCTTGCCGTGCTCCCGGACAATGTCGTGGAGCAGCGGCGCGACGAGAGGGGCTATGTTGTGGCAGCGCAGCGGCATCGACCTTGAACGCGCCTCCTTGCTCCGCCGCTCATAGTCAATGACGTCGCCGACGAGGAAGCGGTACGAGGTGCCGCGGAGACCCTCGGCGCGCAGTGCCCGCTCCAGCCGCCGCGGGTGCCACCACAGCCGGTCTATTAGCTTGGCAGCTTGCCAGAGAAGCACAAAGCCCAGGCTGCCGCATACCAGGAAGCTCCATTGCACTAAAGCTGGACTAATCAACGCTGTAAGAACCATGTCTCTCTCTCTCTCTCTCTTGATTGGGGGAAGATTGGTTGGATGACTGATTCGATTGAATGAGTATGGTAGAGATGAATGCATCACAATATATATGGAGAGAAATCATGGCTGTGGGGAACTCTGGTCCATGCCTCTCTCCGAAGGAACTTGGCAGAGAAGAAACTGAGATGGAGATCTGATTATTATTAGTTAAATTAAAGTGAGCGCGGTGACGCGGCATGGGCACTCATGGCCTCAAGGGCCAATCAACGGTCTGCCAAGACAAGGACAATACCACTGGATGTATAATAAGGGGATCTCTAGCAAATCTATATTTGATAGGTTGGTCTCATTTTTTTTTAAGATGAGTTGATAGAGTTAAGCATTAGCTAGCGGATCACTGAAACATATCTCCCGTAGTGGATGTGTCCATGACCTGCATTCGGGCCAACTCCACCGCGCGATCCCATTTTGTTCGGCCCCGTTTGTTTGGGGTAAATGGAACGAACCGGGTGGCCCAGCGCGCGACGGCCCTGACCCATCTTATCCGTTTTGTATCCGGATCGACCCATTTCGAGCGCAAACTTGCGCCTGGTTTGAATCGCGGCGGACGGCAAACGGATGTGCGCTCGTCCGCGTCGGGGCCGCGTGGCAGTCGACCACCTACCTCCCATCTGTCAACATCAATGCGCACAGGCAGGTGGCCCCACCTGTCATCCGGCCATTGAATGGTCGCCGTCCTTCTTAAATGGGATCCGTGGACCGGTCGTCGTCCTCATCAGTTCCCACTCTGGCCCCTCTCTGCCCCCTCGAAAGCCAACACGCCCAAACCCTAGCCGCTCCCCGTCCTCGAACTCGCCGGCCGGCCACAGAGCTATGGAACTATGGCCGCAAGGGAAAGCACGACCGCGAGGCCGGATCCTCCTCGGACCGCCGCCGCGGCTCCGTGAAGAAGGAGGAGCCCGCGTCACCGCCGCGCTCCTCCCGTCGAGCCCCCGCGCCGGCCCCCTTCACCATCGCCCCTAGGCCCGCCGGTGAGCGCGACGGCAGTACCTCAGCGCGGACGTGTGCCGACGCTACTGGGAGACGAGGACGCCGGTCCCGTGGAGCGACGTCCACCCCCCCCTCCAACAACTGGCACCTCAGCGCCGACTGGGTCCTGATCCCGCCGGTGCCGATGGGCGGCCGTGCGCGCCGCGATGAGATCGAGCGTCGTCGCCGCCTCCTCCCCGACGACCTGTACTACGACGACAGGTACACCCCCGATTCCGTGCTCTGGGACACGTGGCTCCAGGACAAGCACGACACGCGCCGCACGTCCTACTTCGTCGGCACGGTGTCGGGGCCGCGACGGCCACGTCGAGAGGTGCGCGGGCGTACGCGGGTGCGCGGCCTCACGCCCACGTCGTCGCCTTCCCCGTCTCCGTCACCACCTCCACCTCCACCTCCTCGCATGACAACGGAGGAGGAGGCCCGGCTCATGCAGCGTGTCATGGAGGACTCCATGAACACGCACGACGAGCGCCAATGGGACGGCTTGGAGGAGGCGTTGACACTCTCTGCCGCCGGTGACGTCGCCTTCCCCGAGCTGAAGATGGTGGCCATCAAGGAGGAGGAGAGGAGGGAAAAGGCGAAGGAGGAGCCGGTGGCCACGTTCCACCCCGGCCTGGTGGGCCAGCAATGGAGCTGGTCGTGCACCGTGCCGGAGATGGCCGACGCCGTGGGGGGTGTGAATGTGACGCCCTCGATTCAATCATACACTAATCATGCACGCAAATGTGTACGATCAAGATCAAGGACTCACGGGAAGATATCACAACACAACTCTAGACACAAATTAAAATAATACAAGCTTTATATTACAAGCCAGGAGCCTCGAGGGCTCGAATACATCAGCTCGAATACAAACGAGTCAGCGGAAGCAACAATATCTGAGTACAGACATGAGTTAAACAAGTATGCCTTAAGAAGGCTAGCACAAAAGCAACATCGATCGAAAAGGCAAGGCCTCCTGCCTAGGAGCCTCCTAACTACTCCTGGTCGTCGGCGTCCGTCACGTGGTAGTAGGCACCCTCGGGGTAGTAGCAGTCGTCAAAGGTGTCATCTGGCTCCTGGACTCCGTCATCTGGTTGCGTCGTCCGAGAAGAATGGAAAAGGGGGAAAAGAGGGAGCAAAGCAACCTTGCGTACTCATCCAAAGTATTCGCAAGCAAGGATCTACACTACATATGCAACATTATCAAAGGAAGACTGTATATGTGGACTGGGCTGTAGAAATGCTAGAATAGAGAGAAGGCCTAGTCCTATCGAAGACTAGCATCTTCTGGAAACCACCATCTTGTAGCAAACAGGAGGAAGTAGAGTAGCATAAAGTAAAGTAGTAGTAGTGTTATCAACCTCGGCCAGAGATCCTTTCTCGACTCCCTGTGAGAAAGCAATCCCAGAGCCATACTATCCAATTGTCATCACAATCCAATTCTCATCACAAGTATCCAGTTCTAATTGTATCGATCGGGATACAACTCCAAGTGTCCGTTACCATAGGATAGGCTATCGATAGATGTTTTCTTCCCTACAGGGGTGCACCAACTTACCCAACACGCTCGATTAACTCCGGCCGGACACACTTTCCTGGGTCATGCCCAGCCTCAGCCAAACAATACGCCGCAACCCGACCTAGGCTTAATAGAGAGATCAGCACGCCGGACTAAACCTATGCCCCCAGGGGTCATGGGCCATCTCCCCGGAAACTCCTGCACGTTGCGTACGCGGCCGGTGAGCAGACCTAGCTACCTCCTTAAAAAAGGCAGGTGCTTACCAGTCCAACCCGGCGCGCGCCACTCAGTCGCTGACGTCTATTAAGCTTCGAATGATATATACGACGCAAAACGCCCATACTATGCCCACGTGATGGTTAGTGCTATCAGGCCAGAGGCCCCTCGGATCAAATATCCAAATCATAGTGGATTAGGAACGCGCGGTAACAAGCAGAGACTCACGAAAGATGTGACCTCGTTGCCCCGTCTCGAGCACTTGCAGCAAGGGCTAAGAATGCCCGGCCACGCCTCGTAATTATCTCTCGGGCACCTTCCAGGTCAACCCGACTCCACATCACTCGCAATTATGCTCGCGCGGGTACCCCTCAGGGTCGACCCGTCTTTAGTAACATGGTTTAGTGTAAAGTCATAGTAATCATAGTAACTGTGTGTCTAAACATCAAGGAGAAAACCCGAGGAATCACCCCCGATGAATTCCACTCGATGTAATCATCAAGGTGAACGTAAGAGGAATCACCCCCAAGGTTCACACTTGAGGGGTTGCACGACAGAGTCGTATCGGAAGTGGTTAAGGCGGAATCATCCTCGATGACCACAACCGAATAGCTACACTACAGGGTTAACATCAGAAGTGTTGTAGAGGTCTCACCCTCGGCACTCGATAGTTACCCAGCAGTGTCGAGCAACTAAGGGGAAAGTGATGTGCGGTGCCGTGGCCTGGTCTTCAATCGATCATAGCGGCAGCATCGGTCTCGAGGTCTACCGAAGAGAAGAGGGAGAACACAATAAATAACAGAGCAAATCAAATCATCACAAAGCGTAACATGGCAATACGCGGTGCTAGGGGTGACCTAACGCGGTAGTAAGCGATACTGGTGAAAGGGGGAAACATCCGAGAAAGTATCCCCGGTGTTTGATGTTTTCGGACAGATGAACCGAAGGGGAAAGTTACGTGTTCGCTACGCTAGGGACGTGTGGCAGACAAACGGACTGCGTATTCAAATTCATCTCGTCCTTCTGAGCAACTTTCACGTACAAAGTATTTTCATCCGAGTTACCATTATCTTTCTATGAATGATCAAAGTTTTAAGCATTGTCTACATTTCTTTTATTAATCTAATTCGTTTATACTAAAAAGGCATAATCCCTTTTACACCTACTTTGGGCTAGCCATGTGTATGACAGTGGGGCCTGGGTCAAAGTCAATAGTTGACCAGTCAGGGTTGACAAGTCAACAGGATCAAAGCGGGGCCCATTTGTCATTTGCCCTTGTGCAAAAAGAGAATTAACTAAACTAATTTAAAACAAAGGGCCACATGTCATAAGCTATTAGGCTAATCTAGCACTAAACTGATACTATCTAAACAGCAGAATTAATCCTAGAACTAATCTAGCTAAACAGACCTAAACTAGTTTGGGCCAGCACCACACACACTCACACACACGTGCACTCACATAGCACACTCACACACACCACGCTGCATACACACACAGAACACTCACACATACCACGGCCATGGCCTTGGCCATGGCGTAGCAGCCGCAGCCGAAGGTAGCAGGCTGCAGTAGCACCAGCAACCGAGCAGCGGCATAAGCACGGAGCAGCAGCGGCGGCAACTAGCGGGTACAGCAGCAATAAGCAGCAGTAGGAAGCAAGAGCAGCAGCAGTCAACGAGCATCAGCAGCGGCAGGGGCGTTGAGGTAGTAGCAGCAAGTAGCAACGACAACGAGCGACGGCGGTAGCAAGCAAAGCATCAGCATAGTAAAAGCAAGCAACAGGAGGCAGTAGCGACAGCAATACGAAGCAGCAGCGGCCGACAGCAGCGTCGGCAGGCGGGTTGCGCCCGCGACGGACAGGGGCGAGCGGGGATGGCGTGTAGAAGGGAGCGGCGGGCGCGTTGGTCGCGAGCGGAGCGAGTGCGAGGCGTCGACGCCGAGCGGGGCAGCAACAGCGGTACGGGATGGCGGCGAGCGAGCGGAGGCCGCGGTCGGGCTCGCCGCGGGGGTTGGGTGTGTGCGGGGGAACGCGGCCGCGCCCAGCCGGACGCGTCCGTGGGCGCGAGGACAGGGGCCCAGCGACGCGAGCAGGACGCAGAGAGCGAGGCGAGTGCGGGCACGGGGTCGCGGTAGCGAGCGACGACGCGCTTCAGTCGCGACGGCGATGCATCTACGGGCACGGATGCGAGCGGGAAAGAGAGGGGAAGGACGCGGTGCTCACCGGGGAGCTCACGGGTGGCTCGGCGAGGGCTTAGGAGTGCAGAGGACGGATCGGGGTGACGGAGCCGCGGTGGTCCGAGGAGGACGATGACGGCGTTCCGGCGCTGCA